AAAAAAAAAAAAGGAGGAGGATTGGCAGATGTTAGCACAGGGCTGATCTCCTCACCCAAAAAAAAAAAAAAGAGAGAGAGAAAATGTTCATGAAATACTGTTAAATTAAAAAAAAATTTTACAAACATACAAAGTCATTTATAGACTATGAAGCCATTTTTAAAAACATATAGATATGACTTTATGTGCATATATAAATTAAAAATGGGACAGTATACCGTTTATATACTCTATGTTATATATGCATATACTAAATTAAAAAGCTGCAGGGCCGGCCCAGTGGCACAGGCAGTTGGGTGCCCGCACTCCGCTGTGGCGGCCTGGGGTTCGCCGGTTCAGATCCCAGGCACACACCAACGCACCACTTGTCAAGCCACGCTGTGGCGGCATCCCATGTAAAGTAGAAGAAGATGGGCGTGGATGTTAGCCCAGGGCCAGTCTTCCTCAGCAAAAAAAAGAGGAGGATTGGCAGATGTTAGCTCAGGGCCGATCTTCCTCACAAAAAAAAAAAAAAAAACACAACTGCATACTATTTCCAAATTGGCATAATACAATGCATAATTTCAGTGTCTACCTCTGGATGATAGAATTATAGGTAACTTCTAATTTATTCTTCAAATGTATCTATGTGTCTAATTTTCAAGAGTGAACAATATTTTACACTTAGAAAAAGTACAAATTTAAAGACTTCTAATTATATGCAATGTGATTACAAATAAGAGATTGCCACAAGCTGTCTAAGAAATCAAGTCCATTATTTTATAGTGACATTTTATATGAAAAGCCAAGACAGTAAGCCTACACATCCAAATATAATGGGGAATACAAGTTAAAAGTAGAGTAGATTGATGTAGAATTTCTTGACCCATACATCCCATTTGAAGTAGGTTCTATTACCTCCCAGCTATCTGGCTCCAAGAATTCCTTTTTTTCTGTAGCTTTCAAAAACTCTTCCAGAGTCACCAATCGGTCTCTGTTAGCATCAACCTGATTAAGGAAAATGTATATGTAAAATAAAATAACTCTTTCTCACATTATTTAGAAACTGTCTTCTAATACATGCTACTACATAAACATACAGCAATTAGGGCTAGCCTAACACCCACAGAAACTGCAGGGAAAAAACCAGAAACAGAATAGTCAATTATATTAGAATCAGAAAATAGATATCTTTCTCTTCTATATAATTCAAATTTGAAAATATCTATATACCTGATACCCCCAAAGATCACCAAGTGTGAGTCTGCTGATCTGACTGGTCAGGCTAGCATTGTCTTCCTCCCTCACCACACCATGCATAATCCCTCTGGAAGCCAAGTGCTTGGGCTAGGAAAAAAACCTTTCCAGAAAGAGGACTGTTTTAGCCAAGAGTACAGGAGTTTAAGTTAAAATGCTCTCAACAATTTTTCTTAAAAACAAACAACTAACTAAATCAAAACTAACGTTGACAATCTCTCCAAATTCTCTTCGATGGCTCTTACAGACTATGGTAAATTCAGTTACAAAGGTGAACTCCATAATGGCCAAAGAAATGCACTTGATGCTTAGGATGCCAGCACTCAACAGAGATCCCAATTCATCATTAACAGCTCAAATATCAGGTGAAAATCACTAAAGCAAAACTCTGGGTTTTAGTCACTCTGCCTATGACGTCTATCTCAGTTTTCACCTTAGGAATGTGATAAAGAAATAAATATTTGTTGTTATAAACCATTAAGGTACTGGGTTTTTTGGATTTTCTTAGAAAAAACTAACATAGCCTTTTAAAATATCAAATATTGGACTACATTATTTTTTACTTCTAAAAGAATTCTTATAGCTTATATGAGCAGCATCTTAATCTTTTAAAATATTTTAAAGTAGTACAAATTATTTTATCAACACCAAGGGAATCTACTGAATATTCTGGATCAAAAATGGAAAATCTAATTAGATACCTATTCTGTATATTTATTTTCCATCCTGTGGTAAGATTCATTGAAAGAACTTGAATAATCCATAGAGGTAACATATAATGTTAAACTTTTAAAGCATACCTCATTCATTACATGTTCCCTCATTCTAAGCCTTTCTTCCTCCATTTCTATCATATCGTCCTCTTCATTTTTGGGGTCATATACTTTCTCCAACTAAAAAGAAAATTTTAAAACCAACATAAAAGAAAAGAAGATAATAGAAGGAAAAAAAAGAGAGCAAAAGCACTGAATATTAATAAACTCACTTACCTCTTTAGTAAATAAGGCTTCTAATTCTTGTTCATCAAGGAAGCCATCACTATTGACATCTAAAGTTTAAAAGTTACAAATTCAAAAATTGATTTTAATGCCTTAGAAAATAAATAATAAAAATACAACTATTTACAAATGGTTTGTAAAAGTAGTACTGACATGAAGCATCAATATGCTACAGATGGTTTCTTCTTTTTATGAAGCCTTAGATCAGTCCAATTGATAATGATTCATTATTTATAATTCATAACAGTTTGTTAGAAAAATATCTTAACCAATTTTTTCCAAAAATATAAAGTAAAACCATACACTATAAGAGTAAATGCAAATTTTAATATTATAGCATAAAACCTGTTAGATATAACCTAGCTAGTCACAGAAATACTATCAGTTTACAGAGAACATTGCATTAAGTCATATAATGACCCAAAAGTAAAAGCAAGTATAAAGACACAGCTACTGATCTAAAATATTTTATACTGCAGACCAACAATAGACTATTATATTACTAGAGAAAAACTCTAAACATTTACTATCAGTAGGACTCAATAGCAGACCTTGGCAGAAATCAATTAAGAGTAAAGCAACCATAATTTTTCAACAGCAGATATAAATATTAATATTTGTATCAAATCCGTTACCATGTAATTTGAAAAATGTCTTGGGGTCAAAGTCATTAGGATCCAATCCATCAGTCTCTTCCCATACCTCTTTTAGCTGATCTTTGCTTCCCTGTGAATCAATTTTTAAAAAACACTCAAAACAAAAGATAATCTATGTGTATATACTCAAAATAAAATATAAATTTGAGAAACTTCGCAGAATTAAGAATCAAGATTTAAGTACTAGTAACTTACGATAAAATTCTACTATCTGATACAAAGAAATATCTTCATCTAACTATGGTTTCATAAAGTCATAATCCTTACTGGATGATTAACTTTGGGATGATTTTCATGCTTTTTCTTCATTTCTTCAAATTTAGATTCTTCTTCTTTTCTCTTTTCTTCACTCAGTGTTTTTAAATATTCTCTCCTTTCATGTTCCTTCATCATTTCATATTTTTTAAATTCTTCATGTCGAGTTTTATCATAGTGTTCCAGATCACTTGTAGCCTATAATGCAATGTTTAAATTAAACAAAAAGATGTGTTTGAAAAATATAAATGAAGCCTTTCTTGCACATAGCATACTCTCTAACAGAAGGTAGTATAGGAAGGCCCCAAAATACTGGACTGCTTTTTAAAATTCTACTATTTTACTTAATCATTATTATTATGAGGGATGTAGGCATTCAAAGAAACTAAAAGTTCAAAGTTAGCTTCAACTTCAGGAAGTTCCTCATAAGCAAGCAATATAAAAAATGATTTTAAAAAGAAGAAAAAGGAAGGGACTGTATCAAATCTGTACAGTATAGAAAACTAGAATGGTTTCTAACCACTTAACTAAATCTAATAACACCCAGGCTAGAACATCTACTTTGGTAACTCCATACAGTACAACATGAGAGGTCTGCAAACTCATATCTAAAAGAAGAGACCTGAGGCCAAATGTGTTTCAAAATTTTCTAGATTTTAGAAAGGGAATTTGGCATATATGCCACATTATGCAACATCCCTGCAGAGTCTATAATCAGATGAGTACTTCCTTAGCAAAATCTATGAATACTCACACTAACTAGGCTAAATAAAAACTACAAATAGCCTTACCATAATTCAAGCCAGGTTTCAGCTTTTATAGTGTTTTGGATTTTGGAATTGTGGGTAAGGGATTACAGACCTGTATGTCCACGTTATTATCTGTCATAATAAGGGTTAAGCTATCTCCCTTTAAAGATACTCTAGAGAGTATATAAAAGTTATATTACCACTTCATTGAATTTACTTGTCAAATTACAAAACCTCAAAGGCACAACAAAAGACAACATTTTTTGGAATTATTCTCACCGCTTTGATTAGCATATTTAAATCTGTAGATTCAAACTTGTCAGGATTCAGGTGGTTTAGGTGATCAAATTGTTTTAGAAGAGCATGGTGGTCTATGCCTGTATCTGAAAGAAAATGGGAAAACTGTAAATGATCAATTATTAGAAGCTAGAAACATTAATATAAATGGTACATACGAATAAGCATTCACATTTATTCCTATGGGATTTTATAAGAAAATTCAAAGTTTTAGATTATGATCTAAGGGTTCATATTTTCTTTTAGAATATTGTACATATTGTTATTTTAGGCAAAAGTAATGTCTTTGAATCTAGAATGGAATACAATTTAATATGTACATTTTTATGTTATTTCTAGAAAGACTAGTTGACTATAAGTATACTGATAGTAAAAAAATTTTTATTACTGTAAAACTACCAAATTTCCTACTTTTAATTAGATGAACTCTAATATACTGCCCTCATCAAATGTCTAAGTAGAATTTCTAAAAAGAATTGCTCTAAAATTTATGTGAAAGAATTTTTTGTATGCTGCTCCAATGAATCCTTTATGGAACAACAAAAATCTAATTCAGGTAAATTCATTTGAATTATGACTTATTTTTAAAGAAACATCGTTTTTCTTTGTAAAGAATTTTTAAAAAACAAGCTACAGTGTATTATAGTTGAATGGGTGAAGTGATAAGTGATTCTGGACTCTTTCAGCTGTATTAGAGAACTGAGCAAAATAGGTACATGAGTTGATGTTGTTACACCTCTGGGTTCTCACTTAGGAAAAAGGAATATACAAATATGAAATAATGGAAGGCAAGAAAGAAACCTGTAGAAATGGATGGGAGGGGCCGGCCCGGTGGCCCAAGCAGTTAAGTGCTTGTGCTCCGCTGTGGCGGCCTGGGGTTCGCCGGTTCAGATCCTGGGCGGGCACCCATGCACCGCTTGTCAAGCCATGCTGTCGCGGCATCCCATATAAAGTAGAGGAAGATGGACATGGATGTTAGCCCAGGGCCAGTCTTCCTCAGCAAAAAAAAAACATAAAAAAACAAAAAAAAAGGAGGATTGCCAGATGTTAGCTCAGGGCTGATCTTCCTCACACACAAAAAAAGAAAGAAATGGATGGGAATTAGTGCTATCTTTGTGAACTTATTATTTCTAAAATATGCACATGTAAATGTATATGCATTTATATTTCATGTGTATATGCATGTGTGTATTTATATATATACATAAATGTGTGTGCATGTATATGTGTATAGATGCATATATCTCCTACCTCTGTCCGATGAAAGTGCCAAGAAGAAAATATATTCCAGAAGCAATAAGCACACCTAATGTCAGCCCTTGGTCTGTGATACTATTCCCCACTAAAAAGAACCAAGAATCCTCAGAGAAATGGCTGATTCCACAGCTGGGGCAGGGTAGGTACAAGATGAGCCTGGAACATTTTGTTATGCCGGAAAGTAAGAAACTGCTAAATTTAGTTCAACTAAGCTTTCACTGAATTCTTAGTATGGCACTGTACTAAGAGTTTTACTTATGAAGAAAAGATTTGTTATAAGACCCAGCCCTAAAGGATATGACCAGATGGTGAAATATGTGAAAAGATGCTTAACCTCACTCAAAATAAGAGAAATACATATTAAAACTACACTATTATACCATCTAACAGAATGGCAAAACTCCTGAAGTTTGAAGATACATACTATTAGCAAGGCTGTGATAAATTATTGCTAGTGAGAATGTGTATTGATACAACCTCTGTGGAGGTGTCAATATCTATCAAAATTACAAATACCTGTATCTTCTAGTTTAACAATTTCACTGTGGGAAATTTATCCTACTGATAATCTTACATGGATACATAGTGATAATATGTACAAGAGTGTTTGCTAGAAATAACCCAAACGTCCATCAACAGGGGGCCTGGTTAAATAAATTATGGTCTATCCATATAATGGAAATCTATGCAACTGTGAAAAAAAAAAATGCAGATGGTCTCTATATACTAATACTAAAAGAGCTCCAAAAGATACTATTAAAGGAAAAATACAAGGCACAAAATGTGTATTGCATGCTATCTTTTGTATAAAAAGAGAGGAAAGGGGCAGGCCCGGTGGCGTAGCAGTTAAGTTTGCACGATCCGTTTCAGTGGCCCAGGGTTCTCAGGTTTGGATCCCTGACGTGGACTGACACACCACTTGTCAAGCCATGCTGTGGCGGCATCCAATACAAAGTAGAGGAAGATGGGCATGGATGTTAGCCCAGGGCCAATCTTCCTCAGCAAAAAGAGGGGGATTGGCAACAGATGTTAGCTCAGGGCTAATCTTCCTCACAAAAAGAAAAAAGAGAGAGAGAGAGGAAAAACAAGAACTTTTATTTGTATTTGCTTATATAAGAATAAAGAAACTCAGGAAGGATGGTGTTAGGGTACAAAAATATCAAGGAGATATTTGCTATATACCTTCTTACACATTCTGGTTTTAAACCATGTGAATATATTGCCCACTTTAAAAATCATACAAAAAAAATTAAGACCCTTAATGCTCTTCTTCGAATTATCAGAAATTTCAATTCATAAATTGAATCAATGAGAAACTATTCGTAAGTTTTCTAAGCATATCAGACTGTTTTCTTTAGATAATGAAATTGAGCCCCTATCTTGTAATAAAGAAAATATTGCCAAGATTGAGGGATGGAGGTTATCCAAGGGGGAAAAAATCTCAAAACACCTTGCGCCTGGCTTCAAGGATGGAATTACCTTGTGCGTCTGACCACCTGAAGTAGTACGGTATGAGCTCAATTTAGCTCCCATTGATACCCTTAATTTCAGGATAATGAGTATTTGGTACTTCTTTTTAAGTCTATTCACTGGCAGGGAGTTTAATGCTGTACACAAGCACTTCTCCAATATGATTCCATTGACCAGAGGTACATGTTTAAAATGCAGATTACTAATCCCCAGAATCAGAATATCTGGAGGTGAGATCCAGTAATCTGCATTTTTAACTAGCTCCCAGGTGATTCTTATGCAATCTGAAGTTTAAGAACTACCATTCCACCATGAGTAAATGTTCAGATGTTCACTAATGACAATGAACCACCCAGGATAACCAACTTATGGAGCATGTCACAAGGACACGGGAGCCAGCTTAAAGGACCTCTCACTGGCTAAATCTGGCCCCTTGATTTTGATTCATAATTAGGAAGGCCATTCTAAGATAATAAATGAATTCACCTATGTTGTCACCTATTGCCTTTACAGTTTTATTTTCTACACTTGAATCTTTGATTCATTTGCACGTATCCTGATGTATATGAGATATAGATCTAACTGTACCTTTTTCCAAATGCTACACAATTGTACCAACACTATTTATTTTTTTTTAAAATCTATCTTTATCACACTAACAATGAGATACCACTTTTAATTTAAACCAAATTCTATATATATTTAATTTTACTTCCGGAACTTCTATTCTGTTCCACTGGTCTTTCTACTTATATGCCAAAACCATACAGTTCTAGTGAGTGAGGCTTAGGGATATATTTTGATATCTAATATATCTAGTCCTTCTTCATTGTTCTTTTTTATAAGAGGAATGTAGCTTTTCTTGCTTGTTTCCTTTTTCATATGAACTTTAAAATTAATTGGCTAGTACAAGAAGAAAAAAGGACACATTTTTATTTGGATCATGTTGAATTTATAAATTAACCTAGGGAAAACTGACCTGTTTATAATGTTGAGTTTTTGTATCAAAAAGACGTTATGTCTTTCCATTTTTTTCAAGTCTACTTTTGTGTCCTTCAGAAGTATTTTAAAGTTTTTGTAAATCTTGCACATTTCTTAATAGTTTTATTCTGGGTATTTTATCTTTGTTGCTATTGTAAATGAAGTCTTTTCTTCCATTATCTCTTCTAACTGGCTGTTGTTTGTACATATGAAAAATATTAATTTCTGTATATTGAGATTACCTTGCTGAATTTTCCCATTGTTTATACTAAGTTTTTCAGTCAATCACTTTGGATTTTCTAGGTATATATCACATCATCTGCAAATAGAGATGGTTTTATCATCTCCTTTCTAATTACTTTACCTCCAATTTTTTTCATTTGCATAATTGTTTTGGCTGGTACCTCCAATACAATACAAAGTGGTGATAGTGGGCATCATCACCTTATTTCTGATTTTACTTAGAATACATACTTGTGTTTCCCCACAAAGTATGATATAGATGAGTGGGACATATCTGATCGTTATAGAAATATCTATTGATTACTATTTTATTACTTTTTTAAAATTAAGAAGGGGTGTTAACTTTTGTCAAATGCCTTTTCTGTATATATGGAGATGATCATATGAACTATGAGGTTACTTTCTTTAAAATATCTTCCTATTTCAAAAATTCTACTTCATAACTATTTAATCTTCTCATAGTCTAAAAGTAAAAGAATATGGGGGATGAGCTAGTTCACCAAGAAAAAAATAAAATCAGAAATGAAAGAGGAGAAATTACAATGGATACCTCAGAAATACAAAAGACTCTAAGAGAATACTACGAAAAGCTATATGCCAACAAATTGGATAATCTAGAAGAGATGGATAAATTCTTATAATCATACAACTTTCCAAAACTGAATCAAGAAGAAATAGAGGGGCCGGCCCCGTGGCTTGGTGGTTAAGTGAGCGCGCTCCACTGCTGGCGACCCGGGTTCGGATCCCGGGC